CCACACGAGACGATTTTTGTAACGACAATTTTAAGGGCGGGCAACAATGCTGGAACGATGTTGTAAAAATTCGAAACAATGTCCCGACAATGTTCGTGAATGCCATTTGAATAGCTATATATTTCGGATTCAAAACCAATGTCGCGAAGTTCTGCCCTGGAATAGCCACTGTATTACGAGTCCTTTCGTTTCTACCGAGGTCTCTCTTTTACCACCGCGGTCGCTAAAACGTAGAAAAACTGGGAAGAGGCGCGCGGGGAATCGAGGGAAGGAGAACGAGCGGCTTCCCCCATCGTCCTCTGTGCTCTCACTTCACTAAGTTATTGAAATGAGCCTCTGGGTGGAGCTTTTCCAGCTCGTATTTCCATATTATAATGTTATAACTAATCTTCTCATTTCAGGCCCTTTCAGAAGTAGAGCGTGAGTGCCAGAAACTACGCAAGAAGCTACAATATGAGGTAAACTCGCCTCTCCGTTAAGATTATTAGATATAGTTGACATACAATCGCTGACAAGACATCTAACAGACTCGCATAGCCTTTTAACCTTGGAGTGTATTTTCTCTTTCTTTTTTTCTTTTTTCTTTTTGGCAGCAAAAGACGAAACTCCAGAAAATGCACGCTCAAATGCAGGAAGCCCACAGCATGAGGCAACTAGAGTTGGCCAAGTCTACGAACATCGATAAACTGGTCAGTGAATTTTTATATTTCAATCAACATTTGTTTGTCATTTTTTGACAAATAAAACTGTTTAGAAAGGAGCATTGGTGAGGGTTGGGGGTAGGGTTGGGGTAGAGGGAGGGTGGGGATGAGGGTAAGGATGGGGCGGGGGGTAGGGGTTAGGAAATAAATAAATCAAGTAATCGGCTCCGATAAGATATATGGCCTGATCTCAAAAATCTCGCCAGACTTGAAAACTGCTTAAACTGAAAGTACATAAAACTCATTAGTACTCTTTCTGTTTGTAGATCTCAGATCTAGAGGAGAAGGAACTACAGCTTCGCCTTCTTACTCGTAAGCACAAATTAAATATCATTATTTTGCTTAACGAAGATAAGACCGCACCCAGTAAAACGGGCATAGCTGAAAGTCCAAAATAAAGGTTTCGCGAATTATGACGATTATGTCAGTCACGTTCGTTTCACGTTCACGCGTTATGACTGATCGACGTAAAAGGAAAGCTTCTTGTGGTTAGATGTTTGAATATGATCATTTGAACACTATGGTCCTTTGTGTACTATTTCCGCCAAAGACACTGCTAACCAGAATATAGGGTTGTCGAGCTTTAGAGCCTCAACTAGCTGTGGTAAGATTAATAATTAAGAACAAAACTTTTGTTGATAGAATGGATGAGATAAGCCAGTAACGCAAGTGGCTCCTTAGACAAAATTCGAGTATTGCCTACAGGTGTCGAACCTATGATCCACTGAAAAACGTATTAATTTTGTTGTTGTTGTTGTTGTTGTTTTCCACAGAAAATCTAGACAGAGATCAGAGGAGAAATCTCTTCGCACAAGAGCAGTCCAAAAAGGTACAACAACTTCGCATTATCTTGTATTGGCGTTGAAGAAAATCTGAACAAGAGAATCCTCTTTCGTTCTTCAAATGTGTTCGTGTCATCATGACAACCGTTTCTTCGTTTATCGCCTAAACCATCTATTCAATCCTTGTCCGAATATTATTTTATACTTCTGACACAAATTCTTTTCAGGCCTTGAAGCAAATGATGTTGCAACTGGATCATGAACGGCATCTAAAACTTGATGCTTTTGAGCGGGTCGAAGATCTGCAAAGACAGGTAATAGGCCATTTTCAAGTTCCAAATAATCTCACTTTTCAAACGGCGAGGCTAAATGCAAAACCTTTCTTTGGAAAATGAGTGTTATTTGCAAGAAAAGGCAAAATCCTTTTCATTTCAATTGCTTCGAACTTAGCCTCGTTTTGAAACAGAGGCTTGGGACAACTCCGAATGGCTTATTCTTTTGTGAACTAACAATGCTTTTACGAACTCCGTCTTGTGCTTTCGCAATGTCATCATGTAGGGCTTTTTTATGGTAGTTTTGTCTAACTTACCACTAAGTATATTCGCAATACGTTTTGGACCCGACCTTTGCTATGTTTTTCTCACCTATAATTTACCCTTGGTATCTTATTACACTGCCCATGGCTAAGTGGTATCTGTGCAACGTGTAAAACCATTTTCTGCTAAAGTATAGATTTATGCATTATTGCAGGCGACCAGAAGAGCCTGCAATTCTAATCTCCAGGTTAAATTCGCGCATGCGTGGTTCATGTGTGGTCAGCATTCGTTTGGAATTCCTCAAAGAACGATTGAAATGCATAGACCTCAATCTGGTCACTCGCATCTTGGCCTCTATCACATGAAAGTTACGCAAAGCATAAAGTCACAATCTCCTTCTATCAATCTCGCTAGCACTCCCTAACCCTTGGCTGGTACTAGTTTATATATTTTTCGCCTGAATTTGTTTTACTTCAGATCTATGAATACGAGCAGCATCTGACCAGTGGTCTATCAAGGCCTGGTTCCGGCGCAGGTAAATTTTATACATAAGTGACCCGGTTTGAAGTCCGTTAAAACCAGTTTATATATGCAGTCATCAGCCTTTAAAGTAGCCAGTCTCCTTCGGCGACGGTATAACGCCGAGAGAGAAGACCTATGGGAGATATCTCAAAAAATGGCCTGTCGACTAGCAATAACTTTACGTTAAAAGAAATTGAGGGAAGAGAGTGAATCTCCCATGCCTAATTTTTCTCTTGTTTTCATCGGTTTATTGTCAAAGAACAAGTAAAAGCCATGAACCCTTAAGTACGATAGTGCGAACTTACTAGTTCTTTTTTTAATACAATGGTTAGCATCTCAACATTTTGCAATCGTGAGAAGAAATATTTGAAGAAATCCAATTGGTTAACATGAGGCAGGCGTTTATGTGCTGACTTCCTAAGAAACGTACTAAACAGAAAGCATTTCTAGCGAGCGCCAGCTTGTTTTCATTTCATTTCAGATCACTTAATCGCCAACTAATTATGCTTCAAAGAAAGAAAATTTAGCTGTTGTTTTCAGTTTTAAGGAGTTTGATTATGACTACTTTTAACTCCGGGTTATTTTTCTTAGGCTCGAGATCCGCTTCTCGTACGGACAAGCGCCCCTTATCGTCATACAGGACGGTACCAGAAAGCTTCGCGGCATCTCCTTTGTTTGTACCCTCCGTGGCTGCCCGTCAAACAAAACCAGTCAATGTTGTCAGTCCTCTCGGGGGAGGTGTGTGGCCTCCGCCTGTCATGTTTCCAATGCGACAAGCTACCACACCAGACCCTGGTAAGTTGGAACAGTTATTCGAGTGGGGAGGGTAGGGGATCAGTGTTCCTCCCTTTTAATCCAAAGTCCAACAAATTGTTGGGCAAACATTTTCATCAGAAGGTTAAAGTTATTTTATTTTAAAAATAATGTTATTTGTTTTCTCTTACTATCTACAGGAGTAAGTTCATCGTATTCGCCGCCTCCCAAAATCCAACGACCGAAAACGGTAAGTGTGTAGTGATTATTAAACTTCAAGAACCTTTAAGATTTTGCTTTTGTTTTCCTTTTTTTACCTCACAGACATCCTAGCGATACACATAGGAAACAGGGATCATTATACGTTTCTGGAAACTGCCCACCTATGATCCGGAAAGAATATCCAAAGCAAAACTTTACGTTGCGCCTTTACTTTTGAACTTAAACGTCCAAATGTTAGCTACAACGTCTCTAGTCATAGTTGACTTGCACTCTTTCTAGTTAAATTTTAAACTAAGGATGACTAACTCTCAAGTAAGCCCCTACCTTTGCTCTGTTATCCTCTCCGACGACGACGGCAGCAAGAACAACGTCAAAAAAACAAATGTTTGCAAAACAACAGCTCTGCACGCACGCACGTGCATCACGCTTTTTACATTTCCTTGACGTCACCACGTGAAACTTCCTCATGAGACGTGTTTACGCGTCGAAAAATTTCCTTTTTCTTTCTGAACCTGGCAGTACGGTCCTTCCGAATTCTACTCCGGGAAAAATCACCCACGTTTGACAAACTGAGCAGGTCTAAATGCAATGAAGTTTAAAAAACGCGAATTGTTTTTTCTACCGACGTTTTCACTGCCGTCGTCGCTAAGGTTGCTTGAGCTCCCTAGAGGAGGAAAGTTAACCAACCCTCTTTTAAAACTTTTTTTCCCTTTCTCACCTAATTCCTCACTAGTAAATTGATAATAATTGACAGACTGTATTGTTACACCTCACCATGTCCCCATATCAAAGTATGGTATAGTATTAGAGTCTCTACAGAATTGCCTAAGGATACTATAACACAATTTACCATTTGTGTATGTACCGTAATTGAATTTGTTTGTTGAATTGTTTTATATCTACAGATGGGAATATCTAAATAAAGTTGTTGCCGATTGAATTTATCAGCCGCAGTTTTGACACGTACATAGAATTTCCTTGATTCTCTTTGTACAAACTAGACTCATTATATTTTGTTTTGTGTTTTAGCATACCGGTCGTCTGAGGGGAACAATAACGGACAGTCTCCTGGGAGATCTTGAGCCAGACGAAGTCCCTGAAACCAGACTTCCCCCAAGAGTTTAACTGAACACTTTTTTATATGCAATGGAAAAAATATTGCTTCTGAAAACATTTTAGCTACATGTACCACCACCACAAAATAATGTGGTACCAAAAGAAAAGTTTTAAAAGAAGTCCGCCCAGGGCTCAATTTAATGAAACTGTGTAATTCACAACTGTAGCTATTGTTTTCAGCATCTTCAATAAATAAAGGAAACAGTTGTAAATTACACCTGTAAAAGTTTTATTACATTGACCCCAGAAAAAGTTCCTTGGACATCCGAACAAGGCGTTTTCAAGTTCAGCCTGTTATGTGGGAAAACATAAACCACAAATTTCTTTCATCTCTAAGAAGTTTTATCAAGCCCTTACTTGACACAGGTGGTTATTGTTGGTCAACACTGGACTACTGTCTGTAAAATAACTTGTACAATGTTTTACGCTTTATAAAAATTCACAGAATTTGGTATTTATGTGTATTTTCGAAATAAAATACCGTTTTGCACATACTTTTTCTTGTAGTGAAGTTGGTGCCAAACGCTTTGATCTGGACTATCTGGAAACAGATTACCTCCGGAGACGTTTTTTTCTACGCATTTACTTTCAATTGCCAAAAAACTAGGCAATTCCCACCATCTCTTTTGACTCTTACAAGGGACAAGAAGTTTTGCTTTTCCTTGTCTCTGCCGACACCATACAGCTCCTATCCAAGGAGAACTATTATTCTCATAGGTGCTTTATGCTTCTGAAACGTAGATAACTTCAGCCACGTGATCCTCCTCTCTAACTTTGTTATTGTTGTCCAATAACCGACATTAATTAAAAAATTACATTAATTTCTTGTACATTTTCTGGTTTATAATGAGCTCTTCCATCTCTTGTCCTTGTCCGATTGAATGGAAGCTGAAAGCAAGGCGAAAATTAAAATATATTCAGCAAATGTTTATAAGCAATACAGGTATGCCACGTCTATCTGGAAATGCATGTATAATGGTGATAGTATAAAACACATAACGTTCAATAAGGTGAAAATATTTATTATACTTTAAACGCAGACTGCATTTAAACAAAAAAAACCAGTTAATCCAATCTTCATCTAACCAGAAAACAATAATTGTTAAGCACACTCACTTGAGATATGTCTCTCTAACAAAATCATGTTTTTACCATTTACACAAAATCTCTTTGGTAACACTTTTCCCTAGTTCTATTTTATTTCATCAGATTAACAAAAAATATCATTTTTTGCATACTTTTGCTCTTCATGGCCACTTTAATTCATAGTTTAAGTACTTACACACTCGTCCTTCCTTCTCAAGTTTTGTCAAATGATGATTTACATTGTTCTCAGCTGCTCTATGTAAGTGCCATGGAGTGTCCTGAAACATCAATGGATAAAAGTGATTTATCTCTTTCATCACAATATCCAGCATGAAATTAATACTATTATCGTTGTGATTTAAGAACTACTTTCAAAAATCTTGCACAAAATCAGCAAAGACAGGCCCCTTTAATTTCATTACTTCATGACTGTTTATATACATTGTATCTACTTACAATAAATAAAAAGTAACAATGATTTATTTCCGGCAACCAGAGGAGCCAGCAATCCTAATCTCCACATTGCTATTAGGCATCAAGGCACATTGACTATTTAGCCACCATTCACTTGGACTTCCACTAAGAATGAAAAATGCATAGAACGCAATCTGGTCATGCGCATGTGGACCTTCCATCACATGAACCTTATGAAAAGCACAGAACTGGAGCAAGAGTCTTTTGACCTTTGAATGACCACACTAGCCAGTACACTTTTCTTTGCATTCTTTTCAAAAAGATCGGTGAGCATAGAAGCAAAGCCCTACCCTTGTGCTGGTGGTCAATAAATCCCCTGCAGTTTTTATTTTTTATCACATGTGGTTGACGGACTTTGAAGAGAAAATTGAGCGTCTGTGAACAGGCTACACCCACACTAAGTAGTACTAGTTCTTACAGTGTAAACTTTCTTGACAATGTCCATTGCAGTTACTGCATCATTGGGATCTTTTTCTAGGGCTTCAAGTATCTGAAAGAATAAAAGAATTACACTTTACTTGTAGCATGTACTGTATCATGCATTAATATTTTTTAACCATCATGGTTTAGCCACGTCTCACCCCCAATAAGAATTAAACATTTTGAACTTTAAAATAATAAATATATTTCAGGCAAATTACATGTAACACACCTGTTTTTCTCTTAAGTTTCTATGTTCAATGTACTCAGTGATTTTTGAAACAGCTTCTTGTATAACAGGCCCATGTCCAGGATAAATCAGATGTGGAGACAAGTTTAAGATGGCTTGCAAAGATTTCATATATGTAAAGAGATCTTCAAACACCTGAAAAATAATCAAAGTGCTGCTTTCACCATACAAAAATGACATGGTGTAATAAGATGAAAAACTAATCTGTGTAGCTGAAATAGGTTTCCTGCCTTAAAAATGATAAAAAATCAAGAAAATCTCTGAAAATCTTCAGGACTTTCAAGTAAGGCTTTTCCTTTTTGGTGTCCACATTGTTTTGTTGTTCAGAAACGCATCACATCTTTGTTACTTTAACCCTTTAAGTCCCAATATCCACATACAAATTCTCCAAACTGATCTCTATTTTTTCCTTAAAGAATGAGTTGAGAGAATTTGATAAAAGATCAAAGCATTTTCTCTTAGGTGATCATTTTATTAATTCTCAAGACTTTATCTTTTGACAATGTATGGATATTGTTAAGAGAAAATTGAAGTTTGTCACTATTCCAGGGACTTAAAGGGTTAATACCACGACACATCTTTTGGCAGCGACAAGAATTCTGAACAACAAATTAAGCAAAACCAAGTTCATTCAGCAACATTTTAAAAGGTAGGAGTTTAAACATCACAACTAAAATATGAACACCCATGTTACATGTCTCCATATATTATAACTATCCACTTCTTCAACTGGCACTATAGCTGGCAAATAACACGTCTAAGAACAACTCCCAATCCCCTACAACACCCAACTTTACTTTATGTTTAATTCCTTTTTCCTAAAAAAAAAACCTACAGCAGTTCCCTGGCCTAAGATGCAATCTCCAGAAAAGACAGCATTTTCTTCCTTGAGGTAAAGAACCATATGATCTGTAGTATGACCAGGTGTGTGGTAAACCTTCAGTGTAGCTCCTTCTGTCGTAATTTCATCTCCATCCTTAAGAAAGTTATATTTATGTGCAGCTGTATGGCCCCCAATCTCTTCCGATACACCCTCCTGTGGCAGTTTTGAAATTCTCACATTGCCTGTAATTTGAATCACCTTTGTTAGTATAGTATTATACTATCATCAAGTATAATTATTATAAATAAGCATAAATATTATAACTACTCAAGTATAATTACCTGCATCTCCAAGGCCTTTAACAACATCAAGGATACCTCCAACATGATCTGGGTGCCAATGTGTTACAAGAATTTCTTGAACAGAGGTCTGATTATTAGTTAATACTTCTTTGAGATGTGCTATATATTCACCTGAACCCCTACTTCCAGTATCAATCAAAATGCGGCTAGAGGTGATGACAAATGAACAGATAATGTGAGAAAATACAAAAGAGACAATCAAAACAATAATTTAATGTAAACTAGGGGTGTGTTCCTTAGCTTTGAGATGATCTGGATGAGGATCAGTGATCCGAGGTCACTCAGATCATGGAAAATCAGTTGCGCTGACGCATCCACTCTGGACAAGGATTCATCGGTTCATTTGATCGACCATGATCCGAGTGATCTCGAATCACTGATCCTGATCCGGATCATCCCAAAGGAACGCACCCTAGATATTCAGTAGCTGACAATCAGGGGTGAGATTTGATTTGCACATCCCTCCTCTTACAGTCTCTTCCAAGCTATCTATATCGTATTTTGTGTTGTTGTCAATCAAATATCAAAGGTTAAATAATTAGTGACCGACAAACAAGTATACGTACGAACCTGGTGTTCCTGTGCACTGGAATCTAACTCTTGTGTAAAAAGTTGCTGGCGTCCCCCTAAATTTATCTTCTACCTCATTCTATCTCATCATAATTTTTATTATCACCTACATGACAAGCGAACACTAGCACTGTCTCAGTACTGATGACTATAATCTAACCTTGCGCTTATAAGTTACATATGACCTATTGTAGGAGCTTTTAAAACTATCAGCTGACTTTGGATCTTACAAGATTTCTTACCTTTTTCCAGTGCCTACGAGGTAAGTATTCGTACCCTGAAGAGTCATAGGGCTGGGGTTACATCCAAGAATACGTATTATACGCGGAGAAAGCTGTTCGATCGCTGGTAAATGCACAAGATTGCCAGCAAATCCAGTGTAGCTCGCAACCAGCGACGCCATTTTGTTCCCCATGTTCGTGTCTCATGGGTGCATCCGCTGAGCGCTCGCGGTTTCAATACCCTTGTTGCTATGCAGCAAGTTGCCAAAGCGTGCTTAGAGACGATTCATTCGACTGAACAACAATCTATACTCATCTGTAAACATGGAAAGCTCTGCACAAGAGAAAAGCAAACAAAACCAGGCTGGAGCCGTTGAACAAGACAATATGGCAGCAGAAAGTAAGTTAGAAAGTAAAGCTTGTTCTTCATCACATTCAGGTTGATCAAAGTTAGAAATTGTTTTGCTCTCTTTCAGCTACGCCAAGATTTGACATCTTGTCTCGACCCAAACCGGTCCCAGTTGGCTTCATCGAGGACAGGTTGGTGGTTAGCTATGTCTCCCGTGGTAACCAAACGAGTTTTTTAGTAAATTCGCTTGAAAATTTTGACTTCTTGTACTATGCTGTGTACTTTGGTGCTTGTCGATCAAAACAAAATAGGTTGCAGTGCAACATTGCGCGTTTCGAGTTCGATAATGTTCTTGACCAATTTTGACAGAGGTTTCATTATTTTAATACAATTTACAATAAAAGATTTGTAAATGTATCTATGGCTTTCTTTGATCTTGACTGGGAACTAAGAATCGAAGGGCAAAGTGTACGACTTTGGAGTCAATCATATCATGTTGAAACGTCAACAAAGAGAATTAACGGAAACATGCTGGGGAATATTTTGCGAGGATATGAAATTCCATACATGACTGTGGGATGTGGCCTACCGTAAACTATTTTGTATTATATTTCAGGCGATCAGTTTACTGGGACAACGATTTAGCCAAGGATTGGGACAACATTGAACCAACTAAAAACGGTACTAAACTAGCTGTATTCCTCTTTATCAAATGATTTAAATTAGCATGTTTTTTATTGTTTGGGTGCTTATTGCTTAAGGTACTTAAATTATTCATGTTGACTTAAATAATTGAGTACCTTGTGCTGTAAGAGATCTAAAACACCTCTTCATGTTTAATACTTGTGTAATTATAGCAGCTGCGGTCAGCTATGTTAAAGGACATTCAGCCTTTTATTCTTGAGTATATGCATAATAGCATATCAAGACCCAAAATGTGTTTATAATAAAGGCCATAACATATGGGCATGTATTGGACAATAGGATGTCATATAAACAGGAAGACATTAAGAGAAACCACAACTTTTAGAATTAATATTAATGATGTTTGGACCCTTCAAAAGTGAGTTCCCTAATTTTTTTACGATTGCTTTTGTATAATCATTGAACAGTGTTAACAGAAAGACAGGCCCAGCTCGTGTACAGCAAGCAGCTTCACAAAGATTATGTTGGAGACAGGTACTGGTTATAAAATTAATGATTTATCAAAAAAATTAAAGGATTGATGGTAACCCTCTGCCTTGTGCATATCAAGTGCGTCAGTCTTTCCAGAGGGGAGGGGGGGGGGGGCATTACTCCTCGGGATTCTTGATGAGGATGCACTGCACAGTTCTTGAAATCCTGACCCTATTTCAGACCAAAAATGGCATTTTTTACACCCATTTTCATACCTGGTCTCTTAGAAATAATGTTATTATTACTTAGATTTGAATGCCAAGAGAAGGATTTCTTAAAATGAACTTTGAATTTGAATGTTATTCTGTCTGTCTTATTTATTTGGGATCAAAACAACAAATATGTTCATACAGTCACATAGTTCTCTCAAAAACCATACCACATTCCATACCAAAATAGGCAAAGTTTATCCCTGCTTTCAACGGTTCAAAAATCATACCTTTTGGGTTGGCACATACCCCTTTATTACTTATTAGTTATATAAGGAAGTACAACCTCCAGGCAGTCTTTATCCCATCCATCCAAACAGCACCACTGAAATTCCATGAATGCTCATACTCGATCTTGGTAATCAAACTTGAAAAAATAAATTCTAGTCTCAAATTAAGTCTCAGATTTTAGTATTGTAGTTTTGACTGTATTGTACAGTATTCATCAGCAATAAATGCTCATCCATATCAGATGCCAGCGTCCAACTTTAAATACAACTGTAGAGATGGGGGTTACAAACTTCACACGACAAGGTATTTTTTTGGTATGCAAGTCCCATTGATAATAAGTTTTTTTTCCCCAAAGATTCAAAAGTTAGAACGACAAAATTAATCATCTCTCCATAAGTCTGTCTAGGATAAAAAGGCTTGTGTAGGAGGGCATTAAATAAAATAAAATAATAAATTGTCAAGGGCTTGAAGGGTTTTTATACCTTGTTTTCTATAGACCAAGTGCTATATGGCCGGTAAGTGAGGCAGCAATGAAAGCGTCAGCAAGTGGACGGCTGGAAACCCTTTCAGAACCAAAAGCGTTACATAGAGATTACGAACCATGCCGGCAAGTTCAAACTGTTGTAAGTGAGGCTGCAATGAATGCAGAGCCAACACAACGCATTGAAACTCTTGCACATCCCAAGACTTATGCGCCATTAAAAATCAAGTCAAGCAGTGAGTGGGATTGGAGCGAATGGGAGTCTGATTTAACGGAAGCCGCAAAGAATGCAACAGCCTCAGAGAGAGTTATTTTCCTGTCTAATCCTAAAATTCCACATCGTAATTACAAAGAAGGACGATCAGTGATCTGGGAGGTTTCTGAATCTGCAAAAAAGGCTCTGCCTTCACTTAGGGTTCAACAACTTGCTAGGCCCAAAAGCCGCAGCCAGTATAATGAGGACTATGATGCAAGTGCTTGGAAAGTATCACCAGGTGCTAAGTCAGCACAGGCTACCCCTAGAATTGCAGAACTTGCAATGCCTATCCCTAGAAAAGTTAGAACTAAAAAAGTTGTTTGATATTTTTAATAAAAAATGACACTTTATTGTTTCACTTTAAGAAAATTAATGCACATATTTGATAACTCAAAACAAAATTTTCCTATTCTATTATTAAATTATAAATGGAGAAAAATGCTTTTCATTAAGCTAACAAACAAACATTTCAAGTCCATTGTGAGAAAAACATATTTTTTGTTTAACAAACTTCAGTTAGTGTTCAGTTTCAGTTAAAAGAACTCACAAAATAATTGTATAATTTAATAGTAATTTTTTCAAGAACCTTTTTTAAAATACTTTTATTGAAGTGACTACTAACACCAAAGAATCTTAAGTTAGCTTACTTCCTCAGAATTCTAGAAATTAAGCCTTTACTGACAAAATGTTTTTGTAAAGCTGTTTATTTCTTGGTTGAAGCTGAACTCAACTGCATGGAAGGAACAGCGATTGCTGTACAGAAAGGGAATTCTACGTTACCGCAGTAACAGTTGGACATAAAAACACAAGTCAGATCAATTTCACTTAAAAAAAGTCAATTTTCAAAAAGTAAAACAAAGCAAAGGTGCTACCAAAGTTTTCACCAATAAAACAATTTTTTGGAGCTGTGCAACACTGTATGTGTATGAATATTAATTTTATTACCACCTCTACTATCGC